CTTGGCGGTCTACACGCTCGTCTTCTGTTCTCAGCTCCGGTTGTGAGGCTGAGATCTACGCCACCGCCATGGCTGCACAGGAGCTACGCTGGCTCACCTACCTGCTGACTGACTTGGGTGAGCGGCCTCGTTCTCCTCCAGTTCTGTACGTTGACAACAAGGCGGCCATTGCCTTGTGTGAGGAGCACAGACTGGAGCACAGAACGAAGCACATTGCTCTGCGTTACTTCCTGGCTCGAGAGTTGCAGCAGCGAGGCCAGCTTCGTCTTCGCCACGTGGCCACTCGGGCCAACACTGCTGATATATTCACCAAGGCACTTCCATCTGGTGATCATCAGCGCTTTTGTACTTTGTTGGGCCTTGTGCCTACGTTTCCACACTTGCTGTAGTCTCTGCTTGTCTCTGCTTATCTATATATATACCTGCATGCTGGCTCTTGCTAGGTAGTCATCACTACACTATTATTGCTGCATATATATCTCTGCATGTGAACTGGCCTTGTGGCCCTTTGCTTGTGCTCAGAATGTATGGTGACGTTGTGATCCACCCTGAGCTTGCTTTGCTTCTCTTGACTGGTCGTGTGACCCCTTGTTCTCCCCCACTTTGCCTATGGGGGTGTGTCAAACTATATATGCTGCATATTGTCTAGGCTGTAGTGGGGTAGCCCATATGGGGTATTAGGGTTTACTACTTGTACTCCTGCATCCTGCTAGTTCATCTCATTCCTACTGCTAGATTCTAACACGTACAAGCCGACTGCAGCGTTGGCAATCCGTCATGGAGTGACGCTGGCAGGCAGCCATCTTACAGTGTTGGCAAGCCGCATTCTAGCTGCGTTGACACGCCACCTACTTGCGGCACAGACAATCCGTCCTAGTGTTGCGCTGGAGGTCGACTTGCATGTGCTGCGTTGCTAGTTTGCTTTTGATGTAGTTTACTCGGCAAACCATTGTGTACCATTGTTCTCAACTTTTCTTAACAAAACTCTTGGCAATTTCCCTCGTGATTACAGCATTACAGAGAACACGCACAACGCTACGACCACCCTTACAACCTCCTAACCTCCTACACAGGTTAGTCTACCTGTTGTAGAGCGACTCTCCGCATGGTGTGGTGAGCGTGGACGACCCCGCGTAATACCTTCGTATAGTAGCCGACTTCGCCGTACCCGAGTCAATCTTAGGTCGGCAGCTGCCTTAGTCATAATGGTCGACCCCCGGTAGTTGAAGCAGGCGTGGAGGATACCCTATATGTTAAATAGGCTGATGTTCGGACACGCCACCAGCCTAACGATTGCGGCCGATCGTTGTTAGAGTTCATGCTAACATAAACCCATGCGCAATGGGCGCGAGACCATCTCCCAATTTCGTGCCCAATGGACATTGTGCCCACCTCTCCCCAACCTCTGCACAATGAAGGTGATGATAGCAAGTCAGTGGCGGACGCACGAGGGTGACCCGTGGAGTGATTCAGGCCGCCGACTTCGGCTTCAGTGGAATGCGTAACAGAATCCCAGTCAATAGACCGCTGGATAAAATGACTTGTTTGTATAACGGGCCTGTGCGGCCATAACCCCTTAGGCGTATCCATCTGTAACCTCCCTAGGATCAATCGAGGATCTCACAGTGCAGATCTACTGACACCCCCTCACACTGGGATGTCCAAGACTGAGCACAGCGGCAACCGCATACATGTGCATACACCGGGATTAGAACCCGATACCGCTCTGATACCATGTCCGAATCCCAGTCACCATATCCAATCACCAAATGATTGGGATAAAAGTTTTTGTTTGTGTAGCGGGTCCGTACGCCCATAACCCCCCATGATTACCCGCTTGTAACTACGCTAGGGTCAATCGGGAAACTTACAGTGCAGATCTACCGACAATGCGGGTGCAAGTGTTGCACTCGACGGCGAATGCAGGCAGCTCGCGCGACGACTTCGACGGTCGAAGTCGTTCTCGCCAACCCAATGGAGTGAGGCCAACTTCGGCGACCCACATGTTGGCCGGTCGAGACGGATGCATTGCGCCGGCGTACGGAGAACATCGCATTGCCCAAGCTCCCCTTTTCACGTGTACGGAGTCAATTAAGCCGTAGTTAAAATATGTAGTTTGTTGACGGCGACGTGGGGACGACGGACGAAAACGACGTGGAACTCTGCGCGGAATTCCACGCTGCCCACCTACTGTCATTTGTGGCCATATATCGAGGTATTGCTGCTCGCCGATGGTGCAAGTCTCGCCACTTCGCAGAGGGCTGTTGCACGCGAAACCAGGGGCGTGCAGGGCTTCGTCTCAACATAGTGCATCGTTGGATACATTCATATGAAATATTTTGAAAAGCGTACGTAAATTCCGAAAATAAACCTTACATTGTCCTTACTCCTGCATAACAATCACATTGTTTCCAAAGGTTGTTGAGTCTGCAACACCTCTTATTGAGTAATGAAGCCATTGGCGGTAGGGGGATTTGCCTAGCCCTCTCCGATATTCTCGAGTTTGGTTCGTGGCACCATTGCATGGTGACGCAATCCGAATTTCATTATTACGCGTGGCGCGATGAGGAGCCCTGCTTGCCGTGGCGCCCTCCCTGAAACGCTCCATCCCGTTGCGTATTGGCCAAAGGTGACGTGTTGGTCCGGGGCAAGCTATCAGCTGGCACGGCACGTCCAAGGTCGCACGCCAACCAGACGGGGTCAATCGAGGCTGTTTGATGAGTGCGTCAAGCCCTCACCGCAAACATCAAACCTGTCAGAGGCTTTCGGTTAGCTGCCCCAACAGTGATTACCTTCTCTCCGTCTAACCACAGGGAGAAAAGATGTGGAGTGGAGTGATCCATGGGGGATCGGCAGCCAATGACATGCAGTTGTAGGAGTTTTCATAACGGGCAGGACGATTCAATTCCAGGTGGTAAATCACAGGGCGGGGAGAATGCATGAGAGAGCAACCGAGCCGAGGCGAGGGGGACGGGCTTGTTGA